CCCTGCCCCCCCGCGCCCCCCCCCCCCCCCCCCCCCCCCCACAGTGCGATCTGCCCGTGTTCTATCAAAGATAGTGACTGAGTTGGAATGTCATGCCTACTTTTTCGGCATTGGAATATGTGACCAGCAAAAGGAGAAGAACTCCAACACTTTCTCAGCTGTTCCAGGGCAGATAGTCATCGCAGATCATATGTGCAGGAGAACCGGTCTGCCCTGGAACAGCTGACCGGTCCTAAAATGTCACTTCTATCTGACTTTGTGGAATGTGAGATCGCAGACACAAAGTCAGATAGATTACATTTCAGCTGTTCCAGGGCAGATCGGTTCACCTGCACAAATGATCTGTGATGCCGATCTGCCCTGGAACAGGTGAGAAACTGTTGGAATTCACCTTTTGCCGGTCACATTTTACTGGGGGGAAAAATGGGCGGGATTACGTTAAAACGTGTGACCACATGACAGGTCACACATTCCACCGCCGAAAAACTGGGCAGGATTAGGTTAAAATGTGTGACCACGTCACCGGTCACACATTCTTGAGCTGAAGCAGAGACACCGGCACTCCAAATTTGCAAAATACGTCTATTTATTGACGTGCATCGTGGTAGAAAACAACGAACGTTTCGGGGTCACAAAGGATCCCCTTCATCAGGTAAAACATACCGGTCACACATTCTAACGCAGTCACAATCTTTGATAGAACACATGCGTTCCGGTCCAGTGCGAATGCAGAAAAATGCAGCAACGCACCATAATTGGTGTGAACTGGCATTAAATGAGGCTCTCTTGCAAGCACATGTGTTAACAGGAAGCAAGCTGACAGAAGGAGAGAGCAGAGCTAGTGATTCAGGGGTTTATTTCTTGTACAATAAGCAGGAAAGGGGGGGGGTGACGCCACTGTATTCCTCCAACAGAGAATGTAGTGCCACCCTCAAAGCTATGATATCTTGCAGTGTTGTATTAATTACAAAAGTGGCCTCGACAGAATTAAGAATCCTTTGGCAGATAAGACAGTTCACAGTACTGTTTTAGCTGTCTGCCAGAAGTTTAGCTTTTATCATATGGTAAAACTTCATACAAATGGTACAAGAAATATTATGCAATGGGGAGGGAGCAAAAAATGCATGCAAGAAGCTAGCAGGGCAGAATGCTGAAATAGGTCGGCTTCAGACAAACAAATAAAGTGATTTTCGATTTTATTTACCAGGTCCTGGTGATAAAAACATATTGAAGCTTCCCTACTAAACATGGTAATTTTTAAATAGACAAGATCCCAGGTAGGACATGTTCAGATTTTGTATAGCAGCATTACAGACCTGGCAGGATAAGAAATTTACCACTAACACATTTCTAGACATAGGCCTAGGTTACATATGGAGATTCCCAGTCAATCCTGTCACAAGAAACTCCCCACATGAGCAGCAAATCAGGGAATATATACATTTCAGATTATTTCTTCTGGAGCCTGTCATCCATTTCTTAAAATATAGATTTTAAAGCCAAAATTTTTATTTTTACATTTTGGATAGCGTATGGAATGGTTAAAAGCCCGGTCAGATTTTGCGTGCTGTGTCCCATTTGAGAGATTTTCCTTCACTTACAGACACAGCAGTAAAAGGAGACAAAATTTCTTCAAAGTGAGGTACATTCCCTTAAACAGTTGACACTGCAACACGTGTCCTCAGTGGAAGAATTTATGTTCTGGTGACCACTTAATATTCTGGATATTCCTTCACTTTCAGTGACATTGCTCACCAGGAAAAATTGGAGAGCATTCATCTCCCCAAATCCGAAGCTCATATGAATATAGCCTACTTCTCCAACACCTCAGGAAGTCCTTATTTTAACATAACATAGGGTAAGAAGAAGCACAAGAACATCCAAGACAGGAAAGCATAACCGAGTGAAAACACAAAGACAATAAAAGGGAAAAGAGCAAAGAAGAGAAGAACGTATGAGAGAACAGGGGAGCAACCCTGGCAACACTCCTCAGGATCGAGGGCAAACAAAACGATATAGGCAGACCCTGAGCTCACGAAGAAAGGAGGGAGAGGTATTCCTGTAAAAGACACAAATTCCTTCCAGTATAACCAACAACGATTAAAGGAATCAGCCGTCCTATGCAACATCGAGGTGAGATCTTCCATAGCCATTATATCATAGATTAAGGCAAAATTACATTGCCAAAGTCGGGAGTTCTGCGCTACACTAGGGCTTGGGAAGTAAGCTCTGGCCGCATAAAGCATACAGATAAGGACCGACTTACAGTAGGTTTTACAGGGGGATGTGTTGTGATGGAGAAGGAAGAAGGCAGGGCTATCAGGTACACAAAAGTAGAGCTGCAGCTAACGATTATTTTCAAAATCGATTAGTTAGGCGATTATTACGTTCGATTAATCGGTTAATCGGATAAACTATAAAATAAAGTTTAAAAAATGGCTCCAGTGATAGGACTACTAGTTTGTATTGAGGTTGTAGTCCATCACAGGAGCAAGCTTGGAGCGGTGGAAGTAAAGAAAAAAAGATAGTGATGGTGTGCAATATAGTGAAATGGAAAGTGTAAAATTATACAGCAATCAATGCAGACTGGCACCGGCTATAGAGGACTACAAAACCCAGCAAAAGCACATTATACAGCACAATGCAGAATACCGCCAGCTATAGAGGAATACAACAAATCCCAGCAATAGTACATTATAGCTGGGATTTGTAGTCCTCTATAGCTGGTGGTATTTAGCATTGTACCACTTTATAATGTACTATTGCTGGGATTTGTTGTAATCTTCTACAGCTGGTGGTATTCTACATTGCGCTGTATAATGTATTATTGCTGGGACTTGTAGTCCTCTATACAGCGCAATGCAGAATATCACCAGCTATAGAGGAGTACAACAAATCCCAGCAATACATTATACATACAGCGTATGATGTATTGCTGGGATTTGTATTCCTATGTATAATATACAGCACAATGTACCATCAGCTATAGAGGAATACAAATCCCATCAATACATTATAGAGCACCATGTGTGGGAAAGTGCAGTCTTCCAGCAACGTGCTTCTGAGATCGGACCTGTCTATCAGCAGCTGTCATCCCCCCACACCTGCTCCTCCTTACTACATCTCCCCGCGTCCCTGTGCCGATCGTGGATGGGCAGGAAATGTGAGGCGGGGAGGAGGTGCGGCGTGTGGAGCGTGGATGCGAGCGGGTCTGGCAGCAGTGAGCGTGAGGTGGGGAGGAGGTGCGGCGCACAGCGTGTGGAGCTGTGAACAGGGTCAACTGATCGGAAGACGATTAATCGATTATTGAAAAAGTTGACAACTTTTTCAATAATCGATTATAATCGATTATGTTGATTAGTTGTTGCAGCCCTACACAAAAGTCTGTTAATTTCCTAATGATATCCCTTACAGAGGAGCAGAATCCACGAAGCCTGGGGCAGCTCCAAAAGGTGTGTAACGCATGCCCCTTTCACTCTCACATCTCTAACATGCATCAGGGAGGGCAGGATACATTTGGTGCAGCCAAGTAGGGACCCTGTACTATCTGGTAAGTAACTTATAGCCTGCATCCTGAAAGGACTTACTAATATGAGTATGAAAAACGATACCATTCACTTGCTCAGGCAAAAAAGGAGAGCCCCCAAGTCAGACTCCCAACTAGCAATGGAAGGAAGGGCCCACTATTTTTATTGCTGTTGGTGTCTAAGTTGAACAGTTTTTTCCTTACTCATGAGGGTGGAAAATGAACGCGAGGAAAATCCTCTCCACAAAAGACAAACAGTAAAAAACTGGCAAGTTCTAACACTTCGCACTCTATCCAGACTGGAGTTGGGCTTATACCTCTGATTCACATGAAGACTATGACTAGCAATAAGTAAACCTCTGCAAATCATTCTTCTGGCAGTTAGGGGTAGTGGATGACCAGAGTTCTTTTGTCAGGAGGATATTGACAATCCACCCATCAAATCCAGACATTTACAAATTTGTTGGCACCATCACAGCTCATTGAAACAAACAATGCTTTATCCATCCTGAAAATGATGACATAAAAGAGCTACTGTCTCTAAAGCAAATACAGTGGGACAAGAGAAATTCTTGCTTATCCTGCCCTATTTCACTTCATTACATTTTACATTTCTGTGCTATTGTTGCAGGTTTTTCCTCATTTGTCTGGTGAAATCATTGTCACTAGGACAAGTTAAAAATATATTTGCCCTAACGGAACCCCAGGTAGCATAAAGCATCGTAGTTCTAATCCTCCCCAATTAAAAAAAAAAA